TTCAAACAATGAAATTTTGAGTTTATCTGATTTTATCACTTCTGTAATTTTATATTAAACACATAGTTTATGGTGGTAAACATTGAGAATTCTCATCCAGAGATAACTTAAGTTACACTCAGCTGAGGAAAGAGGTGAAGAATGAATGAGGTTAGGAGTTGGGTATAGTTAGTATAGGAGAGGGATTTACTGAGGAGTACTTCACATTTCCTTGCTGGTAGGTGGAGAGTAGCACCCTAGTAGATACCGAGAAGGGAGGGCCCAAGCTCCAGAAAATATGAATGAAGACATTCAGGTCCAGGTACTAGAACTAAAGGTAAACCAGTTACTGGTAGGTAGACTGAAGCAGTGGGAGTAGATTAAATCACCCAGAGGAAAAAGCCAATAGAGCAAGCTCAGTACTATGAGAGGTAATTTCTTGTTAGGAGATGTCACTTTAATTTTATAGGATTACTGAAACTGTCTTTGCATGTCATTTTGAAGTTTATGATAAATATCACATAACACATTTACAATTATATTAATTTATGATTAAGCTGGATTATTCATTTTTTTCTACTTTGTGTCCAATAGTAGGTACGAATGTTGAGCCTCACTAACAAAGATTGGTCATTAAGAAGACTTTCATGATTGTATTCAGTCTAGATTGAACATACCCTTGGGCCTGTGACTACCAGTAGTTGAGGCATGCCTGGCTTCTAAAACAGAAGCATGGCATGCAGTCAGCTGGAGCCTTGACTTCACAACAATTTTGATTTACAGGTTGGGACAGGATTTTTGAAGTTAAGGTTTAAGCAAATATTGAGCTACTTCTTTGCCTCATCAACATTTTACAGTCTTTTGGAGAAGACTTCTTCCTTAGCTCTAGGCCTCCCAAATCCAATATTACAGGGTTATTTATTCATATTTAAAATGTAGCCTCTTGGCTGGGCGCTGGTGGCTCACGCCTAAAATCCTAGCTACTCGGCGGGCAGAAATCAGGAGAATCATGGTTTGAACCCAGGATAGGGAAATAGTTTGCAGGGCCCTGTCTTGAAAAAAACCCATCACAATAAAAGGGTTGGTGAGTGGCTTAAGGTATAGGCCCTGAGTTCAAACCCTAGTATCAAAAAAAAAGTCTCTTATTTAAATAATGGTTGGCAGTATACAGTGTATTGTATAGATTTCAAGACAATGAATGTAAAAGTAGAAGCTCTAGCATAACCCAAGCTAAGTGCAGCTGGCATAGGATTATTCTCTATAATTATTCTGTTCATCTTGCATGTGTATGGATGAATATGAAATATTTTCACAAAATTATTCGGAGTAATTCTCACAAAATCAGTGAAAAAAAGTGAGCCAAATTATTACTGTAGGTTTAACAATTGATGCTTTAAAAGCTTCAAATCCAACAGAAACTGTTGATCTGCATTGCTGAGTCCAGAGGATGCTTCTCACCCTCACCTTGTGTGGTGACTCTGCATTTGACTTTCTTCTGTGACCGCTAAATGCTGTATCTTGGTTCTTTTCTTGTTTGTCCTATCACTCCTCCTTGGTCATCATTGCCTGAACCCTTTCCTTATCCTCATTCCTAAATGTCAGTACCACTCAAGCCATTTGTCTTCTTATTTGGTATGCCTCCCATTAGGAAATGTATTTTTCTAAACTACAAATCCCAGAGACATTTGCAGCTTCTTCTCACTCAGTTTTTCCTCTCCCTTACTTCTCACACCAAGTCAGCTGAGTTCAGCGTACAGTTGGGTCTGGCTGAAGCCTCTCTTCGAGCCACTCCTTTCATACCATCCTTACTCTCATACCGCCTTTGGTCAGGCTCTGGTCATTTCTTCTCAGAACCCTTCTTGCTCTGTATTAAGTACTGTGCTGGGCACTAGGAATACAAAAATGATTGTTCACATAGTAATAAGAGCTACAGACAAACAAACAAGCATATATAATCCTAAATATTTCATAAGGTACACAACAGCACATTAGAGATGTGGATGATTTTACAGTGTAAGAATCTAATGCAAGGCTGAATACTACAAAGAGCCATCTCCAAGACAGATAGCAGTACCTACCACATGGTGTAACACCTTTAAGTTGCAGTTAATTCTCCCTGTGTCATGCTAGCTTGTCTCACTTTGATGTTTGTGTTAGTCTCTTTTCTCCAATCTTTCATAATCATGACTGGAAAGCTACCAAGAGTGTGTGACTAAGGCCGGGCATAATGCTGCATGCATGTAATTCCAGCTACTTGCGAGGCAGAGGTAGGAGTATTACAGTCCAGTGCTGGCCCAGACAAATGTGCAAGACCCAATCTGAAAAACAACCTAAAAAGAAAGGACTTGGAGGCATGGTTCAAGTGGTAGAATTCTTGTCTTGCAAGTGTAAGGCCCAGAGTTCAGTACCTAGTAATGCCCCCAAAAAAGTGCAAAGCTGGATTGAATATACATTTTCAATTTATGTGAAGTTGTATGGTATCCTTAATGGGATGGTTGTACAAGACATTCATGGAAGATCAGTAAGTACCTCTAAGAGTAGCTGATCTACTGTGAGGCAAGTCAGGAAATATTTTATGAAGTCCAGAGCAAGGAGTTGATGGGAGTGAGAAGGAACAAGAAGGTTGCCTGAAAGCACCAAGGTACGTGTTCGTAACTGTATAACTTTTCAAAGTTCTGGGGTATAACGGACAAGAAGACCCCACTGCACAAAATGAAGCCAGATGGATAAATGGAGGCTAGAAAGATCATGAAAGGTTTTCTTTGCTAAGCTAGGGAATGTGGACAGACCCAAGCTACTGAAAAGTTTCAATCAGAGTGTTTAAGAAGTTCCTGGTGACAGAACCCTAACTTTGGGGAACACTGAGTGCTTTCTGTATTCTCTTGTCACCAAAGTCAGCTCCACAGAACATAGAACTGATGGTGTAGATACGAGCTCAATGCTTAAGATGACTTCCACATGCCAAAGTACAACTTTTTACCGTGACTTAAAGGAAGCCACAGGTTTCCTCATTGAACATTTTTCATCACCCACCCACAGTGCTCCCTTCACTTTGTACCTGTCTCACTAAAACATCTCAGCAGAGGGACTTTCCCTGGCAGGCAAAATCAGCACCTTCATCACTCCTCATCTTGCTTTTCTTTAACACTAGCCAGCTGGAAAAACTGTGTTTATTCATTTGCTTAATTCTCTGTCCTCCAACTGGAATAGGAACTCCATGAGAACAGGAGTGTTTGTATGTCTGGTTCACTACTAAGTGTTCTGCAGCTGGCACTTGGTGGGTGTTCAGTGTTTGTTGAATTCTGTAGCCCCAGCCATCTTCCCCTTCTCTGTTTCTTGGTCTTCCCCCTTTCTCTCTTGCTTCATATTTCAAACTGGGAACTTCTCACAATTCACCATTCCTTAGGGGTGCTTCCTCATGAAATCCTGCTGATTGTTCAAATCCATCTCAGGCACCTTTTTTGGTAAAGTCTTTTTTCCATCAGTTGTGCCTTCTATTTAGCTGCCGCAAAACTTTTCGAAGAGTGTTATCCTGAGCTGTCCTGAGCATGATAGGTGCAAATAAGTATTTGGTAGCAAGTTATTAACCAGTAGAGAACTACACAGTGTGATAGATACACATTATAAGCAAAGATTACAATGCAGTTGGTTAATTGGAGGAAAAAAATGCAGTAATTGAAAGGGGGAAATAGGGAAACAGCCAATTTCTATTAAAAATGCAGTTATACAAGCAGTCTGGAAAAAGAATTGACTTTTATCTATCTACCACTTTACCTTTTTAATAGAAATGATGTGGAATGGAAAAAAATAGAAATTGACAAGTGCTGAAGAAATTACTGGCTAGGGATAATATGAAAAGTATGTTAAGATTCCATACTTCCTTTTCATCACCTTTCTACATAAAATATTTCTTCTCCACATATGCCATGAAAATGTAAATTATCTGGAAATTTTTTGGTTGAATGAAATTAATAGTATTGTACCCAGGCCAATTTCTACTTATATGATGATATAATTTCATTTGACTTGTCAAAAAATGTCTTTGTTATAAAACTACTCCGAAAAGGTACAGAGACAGATAACTCTAAAAATTGCTTGTTTAATTTTCCAATATCTTTTCTATTTATATTTTAGCATGGGTATCTGATGATCTATAAATTCATTTTAACTGATTGATGTATGCTATGAAATCTTGTGAAAGCCTTCATGTGAAACTGATCAATTTCTCACTTCTGAACTCAGGTTTCTCTCCTACTTGTGAATATCCTTTCAGATGAAATTATGCTAAATTGCTGGGGTTTTATAGAACTTTCTATTTGGGACACAAAGTATGAAAGCTAATAATTGAGTAGGATTATGCCCATTCATGAAAGAAGACATTTCCAGTTAACCTCCAATATTTGTCCCTCAACAAATATGAACAGCTAAGGTCAGATTTATTCTTTTTGTATTTGAGGACCACGTTAGACACCTGGAGGATCATCTTCTATCAGAGGCTTGGGAAGTGGGGTAAGAGTGTATACAAATGAGAAGCTTGGAATGATAAAGATAAACTTTATTTAGGGTTTTTCTGTTTATCTATGACAGTAAGGATGCTGAGATGCTTCTTGTGAAAGACAGCAAAAAAAGCATGGTTTTTACGTCATTTGTTACAGATGCCTTTTATTTTCCTTCCTTTAACAATGGCTGTGTTTATGAAGAAAAAATATTCTCATAGGTTTGTTAATTGGGAATTACTACACTACATGTGTATGAAATATAAATAAGCATTTTCATAAGATGTATTTAACATTTTCCTATGATGAGTTTATAAGCATTTTAATAAAACATGCTGAAGAATTTTACCCTTTCCTTTCTTTTAAATTAAGATAGGAAGATTTGGGTAAGACTTATGTAAACTTGAAGTAGATTTTAAAAGTTTGCTACATTAGAGAAATATTTGAGGACAGTAATAATACAATAGAAATTTTTGCTTTGTATGTTCTAAAGGATTTTTGTGGTATTTCATTTGTTTTTTTCAGAGTAAAGCCAATCCCAGCTGAAGGAATCAAGTCAAATCCTTCCAAGCGACATAGAGACCGACTTAATACAGAGTTGGACCGATTGGCCAGCCTGCTGCCTTTTCCCCAAGATGTTATTAATAAGTTGGACAAACTCTCAGTTCTCAGGCTCAGTGTCAGCTACCTGAGGGCCAAGAGCTTCTTTGATGGTATGACAATAGCTTACAAAATACTTATATTAAACATGGCTCTTTCTGTGTTGATAACTAACAATTAACCACATGTGAAAAAAGTTTTATGTATTGTGGTTTAGATAAAAATTGAGTGACAAAGCCAAGTTTATAATTATCCTTAAAATCAATTTTCCGGTTTCATTCATCAAGAGATGCAGCCACTTAAATGATATATGCTGACATTCTTTGAAATCGGATATTCAGAAGTTATATTCCAGTTACGTGTCTTCAGTTCAAATTCCCCTTTTTCCAATTCAGGTTTTTAAAGTCTGTCTTTTTTTAGAAGGCAAGACTGAAACACATATTAGGACTAGTGTATTATTGCTGTGTTTTCTGTTCATATGGATATGCCATTTCACTTACCCTTTCAAAATTATATAACCCTTTATATTAATATATGTTTACTGCAAGAAAATGTAGTTAATTTTTTTTCCATTGGAACGAACACTTCAGTATAGGAGTCAGTAAAATTAAACTTCACTCTCTGTTGTGCCATTGACACACTGTTTGACTTTAACCAAACCTGGTACCCCTGTCTACCACCTATAAACTCTGCTGTGAGGGTTGGGGTTTGGAGCTAAGTGGCTAAGTGATATTTTGTTACCTTTTTTTCTGGAGGTACTGGGGTTTAAACCCAGGACTTCATGCTTGCTAGGCAGACACTCTGCTGCTTGAGCCACTCATTTATCCCTTTTTGCTCTGTTTCTTTTTAGAGCTAGGGTCTCCATTTTTGCTCTAGTTGCCCTAGATTGTCATCCCCTACTTTATGTTTTCTGCTGTCACTAGGATGACAGATGCACGTTACCATCTTTTTTCCATTGAGATGTGGTCTTACAGACTCTAACCCCCTCAAACAGGCTTGGAACTGCATCCTCCTGATCTCAGCCTCTTAGGTGTCAACTGCTGGCACCCAGCTGTTTGTTAGCTTTTAATCATACAGTATTTCATCATCGTAGAGTATTTTAAATGGAAGTTCTTAATTGAAAATAATGTTTTCATATGTAAAATGATTCCTTAATTTCTCTTGTTTATTTATAAATTTTAAAAATATTCCTTTTTAAATGTTGTGTTATTTTACAAACTGTAGTAAAGTAATTAATAGTAAAATCTCAAAGGCATATATCAGTGCTTGTCAAACTTCAGTGTGCCTATGCCTCACCTAGGGATCAAGTTAAGATGCAGATTCTCACTCAGTAGGTTTGGGTGTCACCAGAAATTTTCCATTGTAACAAAGCTCTCAGATGATGCTGATAATGCGAGGCTAGGTCCCTAGGAACTACCTAGACAACATACTTACAAAATACTTAATTTTGTAACTTGTGTTTAGAATATTGCAAAACAGTTTCCTTTAAGATTTGTTTCCATGGTTTAATGTCTGAGCATCTTTTTGTTTGCTTGCTTATATGTTAATTTTTTGGACTAAAAGCTATGTAGTTTAACAGTTGTGGTCTGGGTAGTATATACCTACTCAAGGGTAGTAGTTGCAGGGAAGATTGAGTATATATTTAAAAGTGTCATAATAGACACCCAAATTTTCTCTGACCTGTATAAAAATCCTTTGTATTTTTTGTTTCATCTTACCAAACCCTTCATTTTGGAGATTCCTTATTCAGCATTCAGGGGCATATCTATGAGTGAGTGTTTATCAGCTATGTAGTGTTTTTGTGATATACCTACAGCTAGAGCCCAGGTTTCTAGATTCCTTATATTGTTTTTCCTGACCATATCTCAATTGCTTCTCTTTTTTGGGAATCTTTAATAGCAAAGCCCTGAGGACTTTTCCCTAGATCTCTGGTTCTCAAGTGGGTAGTCCTCAGACAAGCATCCTCAGCTTCACTTGGGAACTTATCAGAAATGCTAATTCTTGAGCCTCACCCTAACCCTGCGGAATCACACTGGTTGTGGGCTAGATGCATGTTAACGTCTAGGGGCCACTGCTATAGATTGTACCCTTGAGCTCACATCCAGCTTCATAGAATGCTGTCTTTTGCTTAGCATTTATTCACATGCTATGTGCACAGTTCTACCATGCAGTATGGAATTCCATGATGTATAATAGTTTACATCTAGAAGCCAGGGAGGCATTAGTCCTTGATTCTGGTAAAGATTTTTTGATTAAGTCACCTTAACTTTCCATTTCTTCCATTATTATAGAGTAGAAAACCAAACAACATATATTAAAAAAAGAGAATGTATAGGTTGTCTCCTCTTTAGAAGCAGGGGAACAAAGGCTGAGTATAGCAGCATATCCTGTAATCCTAGCACTTGGGAGGCTGAGACAAGAAGTTCCTGGCCAACTTGGGCTACATAGTAAGACCTTGTCTCAAAACAAAACAAAACAAAAAAGGGTGGGAATTGGGGGGTGTCAGAACTGAAGCTCCTTAGAGCAACCCATGTGACATGTAAGTATTAGCATAATTATCAATCTGTAGACAGATGTATATGTTTGTGATTGTAAACAAACATATATATACATATATGTATATACATAAGCATGATTTGACATGTGTCCTGTTATTCAGTGCCCCAAATAAAGGAAGTTCCAAAGTCTACGTAATGTTATAGTGTCATAGGGATCATCACAGAATTCTTACTTGTTGAAAGTATTTTCTCCTTTAATGAGGTTTTTTTTCTTTTTTTTCTGGTTCAGTGTATTCAGCAGTAGAATCTTATTACCTATTTGTATCATCCCTGCATCAACTATGTTATCTTTAATTTTAGATCCGTTGCATAACTGGTTCCAAGCTTCAGCATGCATAAGAATTACCTGAAAAGCTTGTTAAAATGCTGATTCAGTCAGTTTTATGTAATACCCAAGAATCAGTATTTTAACGAGCATGTTACAGTTTGGGGCAGTGTTTTGGCATTGATTATACCTTATTCACAATAGCAAGTTGCAGAATCATCTTAGGTGCTCCAAAACCAGTGAATAAATAAAGACACCGTGGTAAATATATTCAGCCATAAATAAGAATGAAATTATGTCATTTGCAGGAAAATGGATGGAAGTGGAGATCATGCTAAGGAAGATAAGTCAAATGTCCCATGTTTTTGCTCATATATGGAATCTAGACCTAAGATGATGATGATGTTGAAAATAATAATGATGATGGGACAGGAGTGTAAAAGGGAAACTGTCTGGAGGGATCATGGGAGGTGAACTGGGGAAAGGAGAGTACTGGGGGGGGTGAAGAGGATCTAAGTACGTTATATGTGTGTGTATGTATATGTGAAGGTGTGATAATGAATCTCACCAAATATTGTTTGAAAGTGGGAGGGGAGGGAGGATTAAGGAAATATCAGAGGGGGTGAATTTATTCAAAATATGTGGTAAGCATCTATGGAATTATTACATTCAAACCCCCTTGTACTATTAATGTATGCTTATAAAAATGTGTTTGCTTGGGTTTTAGTGGTGCACATGCACCTTTAGCAATATCTTAGGTTGTTCAGTGTAGGAGCACAGATTAGATGGAAGGTGAAGAGAGAAAAATATCATTGAAAATGAAAAAGATTCTCCAGACCACCGGTATTCTAGGAAGACAATACAGTATTTCAGAGCACCATAGAATAAAATTTTGAGGGTAATACCCTTATGAACTGAAAAAAATGCTTAATGCAAATTAGAAGACTTGCACATTCTGACAGTGCTCAGGGTATTTATGCAGGGCCCTCACTCCCTCTGTTAGGGAAACACTGTAGTGAAGGGAAGGGAAGCTCAAAATGAATAACAGGATGCAAATGGGGGGGTGTGTAAATTCCTGCGGAAAGGACAATATAAACGAGTAATCATACAATCTTGTTAGAAAGGAAACTCAAGTTTTACTATAACAATAGATATTTTTCCAAGAAAATACATCTATTTATTTCAAGTTTAAATCATCCAACTTGGATGGATCTTCTTAAACTTTGGAGCCACGACTATAATGTATTTACTGTCTGAAAAGCAATACTTGAGTTTTAAGTACAACAGTAATATTTATCCATTTCTAATTAGTTGAAACATTTTAAAATATAACTTTAAAGTGCTTGAACAGGATTCAGTCATTTTTCAGTTCAGTGTAGTTCAAAACAGTTTATTTGATACTGTTTGAGTATTAAGCTCAATTATTTCATCTCTGTGATCGAAAGTATTTAAGAAGTTTAAATAACTTAATGGCTATGATCAATAGTCATTTATTTATAGAGAGTTGTATTTGAGTGGTTACATCCTATGTTTTAAATGACTGATGTTTCAGAAAATGATTGTTTCCTCTTACATTGTGTCTCTTACAGTTGTCAAACAGTAGACATTGGACTTGTTGACCAATCTAATCAATGTGGTAATGTTTTATTCTTTGGCAGTGAAATTGCAGCATTGTCTTGAGTTTTTGAGTTATGTTTTCTCCTTTACTTTTTTTACCTTTATTTTAAATTAAATTTTTATCACATAAGAATTGTGTTCAGATTGTTCTGAACCCTAAAAATTAAATTAAAATTAGGAAATGATTATCTTTCCTATTTAAAAGACACACATTCTAATAATGTAGAAAAGGTAGAAAAATGCTTCTTTCTATGACCATAGCAGGAGTTATATGTCATGTAGCATTTAGTAATTCAGTAAAATGTTTGTGGCAAATATTGTACCATTTAAAATTTAATCATTAACTATGAAATCTTTTACATCTTCCATCATATCTGAGTCATGGGCTAGACCTAAGAACATCTTTAAAGTTAAAATGTATAAAGTTAGCTTGTGGAAAAGAAGATTTAGACATAAGAAAAAAATGATTTTTGCCTAGGTTTCCATTAAGCCTGACAGATCTGAATTTGCAAGTCTGAGGTTCTAATTCCAAAGACCTGCATTTGCAGCTGTCATGGGAGGTCATTTTCTGGGTATTTCACAAACCAGACAATGCAGGGAAATACCTGAGTCTTGGTTCACTATACCTGCTTCAAATAATCACCATTTTCTAAAGTATAGAACCACTTATAGG